CCAGCTGCTGAGGAAGGAGATCAGCGCTGTGGAGCTGCAGATGATCAGTACGACACTGATAATGCACACTTAATACACTAAACTCTCGCTCCAGCACACACACACACACACACACACACACACACTCACACTCACATCAACTTAATGATTGTCAAAAAATAGTTGCAGATGTGAAGTGTTGTTGTGCTGATTGTAAAAGGCCTCACCCCCCTGTCAGTCCGTCACCACAATACTCCAGTATTATTCTTCTATTATTATTCCCTCCAGAGCTGTCTTGAGCATCTGTCTGCGCTCCCACAAGTTTAGATGAAGCACAGCTGCTGCCATTATCAGAAAGTAAACTTCTTAGTCTTTTTAAGGTGTTTGTGCTTCATTATTGTGTGTGCAGATGAAGATAAGAGCTGGAGGGATGAGCTGCTGGAGTTATCCCGATCGAAGCAGACCCGCGCTGACTCTGAGCTGCTCTGTTTACGGCAGGTGATCAACTCTTTTCTTTCAGTCACACAGTTTCACACACACCTCCGTCCTCTGTGCTGCTTTTCCAGTTTTTCTACGCACTTATAGACTTGGTCGGCGTTGTGTCATAGTGGAGGGCGTGGCCTAGAGGCGGAGTCAGAATTGTTCCTTCTTCCATCATTGGAAGCGTATAGCAGTAACCTTATCGATGCTGTTCGCTCACATGGCTAGTTTTGTGCTGAACAGTTCATCTGTGTATGACATTAGGAACAAAGTAATAGTTTTGTATCTTGTAATCTTTAACTGAGGATTGTGTGTGTCAGGTGTGTGAGAACCAGCAGAATGACCTGCAGTTGCTGAAGCTGAACCTGGAGAGCACCAGAGAAGCCCTGCGGCACCATGAGGGTCAAAGGTCACGCGACAGGTGACAACAATAACAGACAAAAACAGCATAGACCAGGGGCCTGTTTCAGTAAGGAGGTTCAAACAACTCAGAGTTTAAACTTCACCTCTGAGTTTATTTACCGAGAGATTAAAAACTCAGAGTTTTTGGTTTCAGAACAGCTGATCTGAGTTGGGTCAATCAACTTTGAGTAGAGCAACTCAGAGTTAAGCGAGCACACCGTGACTTTAAAAAGGCATTATCAATGGAGCGCAGACATTACGAGTGACTATGGGAACATCTTATAAAAGAGATCAGCATTTCTTTCTCCAGCTGAACTTGATGTTCTCATGCAAAGTTATAAATGTGAGCTTATATATTTGAAAAGAAGCAACCATCAGTGAAGAAGAGACAGATAGCGTGGGAAAACAGCTGCTCAAGTTAATGCCTAATTTCACTTTTTAAGTATTTAAATATTTAAGTATAATAAAATAAGTAATGTAATTTGTGACGTTTATATATTTTTTTCTAAACTTTTTTTTATACATTTATTAGTTTTAAATGATGTAACAGTGCACTTGTGTGTCTGCCTTTTTTATTGATCAAGTGATAGAGGTTAATATAACATTTAGAAGGTAAGCAGTACTAAAAATAATTTTTAGAAAGAATAATAATCCCATTAATCTAGTTACAGTGCATGTCGAAGGTGAATTTAATTTAATTATTTATTAAAAAAGGATAAGCCATTCTCGTACAGTTCTTCTCTGTGTGACTAAAATGTAGGCTATATCTATGTTTCCATCCAAATATATTACATAAGTTTATGTGCAAAACTGGAATATTGCATAAAAGATGCGAATAAAATTCCATCCAACGAGTCAAAGAGAAAAAAATCGTCACTTTCTGATTAAACTGGCACCAAATATCAACAGTAAAAACAGAATTTACTGTGGTAGAAGAAGCTGCGTCAATTAATTCTTTATTTAGCCTAATTAATGTACTTGCGCCTCGATGTCAGAAGACAATGCTGAAACACAATGAACACGTGGGAGCGTCTGAAGCCATGAGACGCGGAGACTCTTGACACGCTCCAGACGTTCGGAGGTAATTAATAATATACACTAATACTGAAACAGTTCAGGCATTTTAGAATGACTAAAACAATATTTAAGACATGTTACAGTGTGCTCAGCCTGCTGGTTTGTCCATTTACACACATTTTCATTATCATATGATCATGATCTTTTTTAATGTACATACTGTAATTTGTTCAGTAAAAGTGTTTCCATCGTAGTTTATGCGCACATTTTCTATCAAATAAAAGTTTATCCTACTCAGTTATGCACGTTTTTTATGCATATTTTAAAAAGTTATGTGCATCATGACATTTCTATCAATCGTTTTTATGCACGTATCCAAAATAAGCATTAAAATAGGTGGGTGGAAACGTAAGACTAAGGCGAGAAATACCGCTTCATCTTTAAAAAAGAGGAGGAGACCGACAGAAACTCAGAGTTTAGAGAATAAAACCTGCTTCTGACCAGGTTAGATTCACAGAGTAAGTGACCACAGTAACTGACTCTGAGTTAAAGTTAACTCTCTTTCAGAAACAGGCTTGACTTACCCTGCCTTCTCGAGTTTAACAAACCTGCCATTTTGAAACGGAAAACCCAGAGTTTCTCTCATTTCAGGGTTAAAATACTCTGAGTTTTCACTTAACCTCCTTTCTGAAACAGGCCCCAGGATTATTATTCTTTTATTATAATTCTTTCTTAGATTTTCCATGTGGATATTTCAGCTTTTTTCCAACTATTAATTATAATTAGAATAAAATAAAATCTCAAATCATAAAACTAAAATAAGTTGTGGCACTTGTAATAAAAATAAACTGAGTTATTTAGCTTCTATTACATAACTAAAATTTAGAATTCAATTTAAAAAATGCTGTAATATTATAAAAAAGTCTATAAATATTACTTGTACAGTTAAATACTAAATTATTGA